ACGGTATTAAAAAAAAAACTTAGTCTATGTGTTCTTCCAGAATGTTCTACATCTGTGCCAAATTTCATCAAGATTCGTTGAGTTCTTCTGGAGATACCTTTTAACAGACATCCATCTAAACATTCTTTTTTATTATATTAATGATTAATAGTTAGATTAAGATCTTCCTTCTTCTTCTCTCTTTTTCTTCTCCAAACCCTTTTTAACCCTTTCCTAATCAAGATACCAAAAGTACATCAAATAATACTCTTGAAAGCATTTAAAATAGGTCATAATTTTATCGGCGTCCTTTTCTCGCTCATAGATGTTTCTTGCTTATCCAGGTTCGACTGTAATTATTATTATTTTGAAAAACACATCATTTCGTAAACTGTTTGTTAGTTGTGTATAGAAATTTGAACCTCGCACATGTCCAAGAATGACTCGTAATTAACCGAGCACGAGTTTGTTTACAATATACGTCACAACAAACGCAACAGGAATTACGATTCTGTTTCCTTTTATTTACCGCCACATACGTCAGACACGTGGACCCATAAATATTTAAAACACCTCTCTATCTGCGGTACCGTATTTGGTCATTACTTATCTCCATAGGAAAAACCATATTAAAAAATATTTTCTTTATTGTTTGTTCAGCCGGAAAATCTTTCAAACTCAAAGTTGATAATAATGTTATATGACTGCGGTCTTACTTAAAGTGTTTCCACTACCGAAATAACACAGCCACAAAAAACGAAATCTTTATTTTTTATAAGCATTTTTTAACTTACTAATGTTATAAATGCGAATGTTCAGATGGATGGATGGTTGGATTTTTGTGTTTAGGTATGAGGAACGGCTGGATGGATCTCACTGAAATTTGGCACAGATGTAGAACATAGTTTGGAAGAAGACACAGGATACTTATTAAATTATAATAATACCGCGCGGACAGACTCGCGGGCGACAGCTAGTACTGAATTACCTAGCGCTTGACCACGATGTTGACTTGATGATTTGATTTGGTACAGGTTTCAAATACGACAACATTCTTATGGAGGAATCGGCTCAGATCCTGGAGATAGAGACGTTCATTCCCCTGCTGCTGCAGAACCCTCAGGACGGCAGGTCGCGGCTAAAGCGCTGGATCATGATCGGTGACCACCACCAGCTGCCGCCAGTCGTCAAGAACATGGCCTTCCAGAAGTACTGCAACATGGAGCAGAGCCTCTTCACAAGGATGGTCAGGCTCGGTGTGCCATATGTGGAACTAGATGCCCAGGGACGTGCTAGACCAAGGTAATTGATTGATAACATACATTTTTAAATGGTTTTTAGGGTTTCGTTACCTCTTAAGGAAAAAAACGGAACTCTTGTAGGATAGGATCGCTTTGCTGTCCGTCCGTCTGTCAAGACACTTTTTAAAGACTGTTTGACGAACAAGTAAACGATAGTTGGCACTAAAGTGCCAAATGCTTTGTCAAATATTTCGGAGATAAATAAGGGAAATAAAGGAAGTTGGGCATCAGACATAATATCTTCACTTCGTTCCAGACTTCTGAGAAGTTTTCAGGTTGCTTTATCATGAATTATTGGTTTTATATTTGGACAAAAAGTAATCGTGAGTCTAATTTTTGTTGCCAACATTTGGCGAATGGATCAAATAATAGAGGAATATAAAATAACTAAAAAATAAATTCTAAAATGTCACTATGCCGGTATCGAACAAGACATATATCTTGTCTATATTATGACGTCTATCTTATATTTAAAAATTGAATACACATTTATAAATAATGTATGAGGAACTCGTTGCGTTATATCTAATTGCTTGTTTAATCTTTTATTTTTATCTTATTTGTTATCCTTATTGAATATATGCTGTAATTAAAACATTTTTATAAAAAATCTTGAGTAAACTAACATCAACATTACAGTCTTAAAGCCAATTTCCACTTAGGAATTTGTCGCGTGACTTGTCGTGATCGCTGCGACACAAATTAACGTCGCGACCAAGTAACACGACTAACCACTAAGTAGAAAAGGCACTTAGGCCTTACATATTACCGTTTAACTCTCGCCAAAATATAAATAAGTCTAATGACAGATTAGTAATCGCTAAAAATAAACTCAAGAAACATTCATACACTGTGTTTGATAAAAAAACATCTGCGAACCGTTTCAATTCTATAGAAAAAGACTTCATTCGCGACATAGTTCGCACTGTGGGAAAACATTGGATGCGAAAGGCGGTGGACTGCGTACTATGGAAGGCATTGGGATAAGCGTATGCCCAGTTGTGGGCAGATAAAGGCTGTGGATGATAATGATGTTACTAATAACAATATTGATTCTATTTCCTTTGACTTCGAGCTAAAAATGAAATAAAAATCATACTGTCTGAGCTTTGTCGAACTAAACGGAATTCTCCAGAGCACCGTTCATGCGTTCATCATCATCAGCTCACTATACGTCCGTACTTAAGGGTGACTAGGCCATAGTCAACCACACTTGCCAAGTGCGGGTTGATTGACTTCACACATATCTTTGATTTTTTTCTTCTCCGTTTATGCAAACATGTTTTATTATTGGGTATAGCATCTGCAACTTGTATCGGTGGCGATACCGCGCGCTTGGGGACTTGGGCCACGTGCTGCGGCTGCCGGAGTACCGCGCCGCTAACGCCGGCCTCAGGCACGACTTCCAGCTCATCGACGTCGCAGATTTCAACGGCGCCGGCGAGACAGAGCCCAGCCCATACTTCTATCAGGTTACTTATTTTTGCATGAGAGAGTAAGAATGAGAAGTTTTGTTGTCTTTGATAGAAGATTTCATTTTTTTTTATTTTATTGGTGTTTAGAACTTGGCGGAGGCGGAATACGTAGTAGCAGTGTTCATGTACATGCGTCTGGTGGGGTGGCCGGCAGAGCGCATCTCCATACTCACCACATACAACGGGCAGAAGCATCTCATACGAGACGTCGTCGACAAGCGCTGCGCCGGCAACCCGCTCATTGGCAGACCGCACAAGGTTTGTGACCATTGTTTTAACACATTTTACACTTATTTCTATTAGAACAATTGAACTAAGGTCTACATATATTTCTGTGTAGGTACTTGTAACTCTTAACCATCGAATTAGCTTCACTAGACCCTTACATATTGGTACACATAGACTTACTGGTGAACCTGATTATTTTTTAGGTGTAGATCATATGAATAACTAGGCTAGTTAATCTAAAATCTTCCTGTAATTTCTGAAGACTTTGGTGTAATCTTAAGTTTCATAGTGTTAAAAGACAAGTGGTGTATGTAGGTGACGACTGTGGACAAGTATCAGGGGCAGCAGAACGACGTGGCTCTTGTGTCACTGGTGCGCACGCGCGCTGTGGGCCACGTGCGCGACCTGCGCCGCCTCGTGGTGGCCGCATCGCGCGCACGACTTGGATTATACATATTCGCCCGCGCCGACCTCTTCCGCAACTGCTTCGAGCTGCAGCCCACCTTCAACCAGGTACCACATTCATAGCTGATATTTTAAATAACGTGTGGAAATATGTTCTCTAATGATCATCGGTTTTTGAAAATGGCCCTACTTTTGATCCTTGAAGGACACCTGCTCTCAAATACGCATCAAATATGTCTAACCCTGTACTATCACTTTATTACATTTCAAATACAAATTAAAATTAAAACATCGCAACAATGACATGTTTAAATAAGATTGTTTTTTTTTATTATTAAATTATGGTGATAAATGTTGTCAAACGCTTCACTGAAGTCAGCACAAGTGTTGTTTTCATTAAACTATAGTAAAAAGATTTAAATTTAGAAGATTGTAACAAGCAAGCGTGTTGTCAGCTGGTGGAGCGGCCGCTGCAGCTGGAGCTGGTGCCGGGCGAGACGTTCCCGGCGCAGCGCGGGGCGGAAGCGGCTGTGCCGGCAGCGCGCGTGCTGCGTGTGCACGACATGCCGCACATGGCGCGCTACGTCTACGACATGTACCTCGACATCGTGCGTCTGCGCACCGGACAACAACAAGCCGTCAGTACCTTACAAACTTCACACCTACCTACTGTTAGGAACAAAATTCGACACTGTGCCGGTGTACTGGCGCAATACTAGCTTTACTAAAATGTCGACGTTTATGTTCCCTGACTATTCTGATACTTTGTAACAAAACCGCGCCATTCACGCCAAAGGTTTCCAACTAATAATGTCTAAAAGTACATATTTTATACTAAACTGCTGTACCAAATTGTGTATTGATAACTTTGAAGTATTGGATACAGTTTTTAGACTTGTCATGCTTGATCTTAGGTTCGTGGAAGTGTTTACATCATTTTGAAGTCTTGCGATATGTTTTGTTCAGGAGGGTGGTTGGGTCCCGCCCGGCAGTGAGAGCGCCGCGCGACCGCGCTCGCCGCGCCCTCCCGCCGCCACGCCTGCTGCAGACAGCGATGAGGAGGACACCGCGCCCTCCTTCACACCCACAAACATCGTCAATGAAGTCGAGGACGCGCCTGACAACTAGCGACACAAACATCTCTCACTTCAAAACAGATGTTACACAGATTATATCACCTTCTGTGACTCTTGAATCCAACTTGTTTTAGATTTAAGTTTACTAATTAAAGGTTAAAAACTCTTTAATGTATGATTTTTTTAAACTGGCATTCCTCAAAATCCCTTAATAATCCTACTTCTTACTAATATTATAAATGCGAATGTTTAGATGGATCGATGGATTTGGCATAGTTGTAGAACATTGTCTACTTATTAAGTTTTTTTTTTACTGCGCGGTCGGAGTCGCGGGCTACAGCTAGTATAGTAAATATCATTCAGAGATAGTGCAGCTTACCCAACAGCGAATTAAAATAAAAAATGGAAGTCGTTTTAATTATTAAATTGAACAAACAATTCACTTTGAAATCCTGAAAGCTAAGATGTGAAAATAAACACAACATTTGTTAACAACTTTTATATTTTCTAGAAAATAAAATAGAAAAATACACGAGTAGTACAAAAATAAATACTTAAAAAAAAGGTAATTTTTTTTCTATAAAAATGATCCTTACCAAATAACTAAAGATATCAACAAATTTAATATTACACGTCTGTTGGAGACGTGTACAAGTGCCGTCCTTGGACTCGCTCGCAACACGTTAGAGTTCAAGGACACCACCTCGATTTCGGCTGCATTTATCTTGTGCAGGGCGGGATACTTTGTCGGTCTACGCAGAAAGACGCGGTGTTACTTTACCCGACAAACAACGGAACACAAGGTATCGTTTTCCGGAGCCGCGACGAGCTTGTATAAATATCGTATGATTTTTGTAACAAGTGCATTCATTTGGGAGTAATAAAGGCGACAGTATCTCGTTTACGTACTAGAATGAAGTCACACGAGTCGGTGGCAGTTAATGTGTTAATATTGTACACAGACATGAATAGAACTATAAAAACTAAACCTAGTAGAAGTACAAAATACGTAAATAGCGAAACGTGTACGGTCAGATTGATAATTCTAAATAAATTGTGCAGTGAGCTTGACTAGAATTAATAGAGGGAATTATTAATATTTATAAATGCGAGTTTTAAATAATATTCTTAGTAGTATGGTGCTTTTAAAGCTAAATTATTTTAAATTATACCATTTTTTGGCCATTTAATGAGTTTTTGTAGGTAAAACCCTACATAATTCAGTTCCGCCAGCAGAAGGGAATCTTTGATAAGGTCCATCCCACACCAAAGAGGTTAGTTATATGGTGACTTTCTCGTCCATCGGCACATCCATGGTATGTTGTATGACGTCCTCGTCGTCGTCAGCGAGCGCGAGATGTCGCTCCACGTGCGGCGCGAGGCAGTCGAGCACGCCGCGCCGCAACAGCGCCTTCACTACGCGTCTCCGCAGCACCACCAGCACCAGGAAGATCAGCGGACCTTGCAGCACGTTCACAAAGTCCAGTATTACCCTGTAACAATTAAATACAATTATACGCCAGAATATACTGGCAACACATCACAGTTATCGAAGGACCAACATTTTTTTTCTTAAGATAGTAATTCAAAAATATTTTTCTGTTCGTGTCACATCAAATGCTGTAAGAAATGTCTCCTAGTATAAATTAAAAAAAAGAAATACATACCATATAATGCTCCGTTCCGTCAATGAACTTATCATTTCAAAGACCCAGGGAATTCCCATTATAATAAACAATCTGATTGTCATTAGAAATCTAAAACAAAGAGAACATTAGTGATATTTTACTTGTAAAAAACATTTTAGTACTAACACGTTCATTGTTACTGGATTTTTTATGTACTACTACATTGATCCGAAAGCAATGAACGTGTTAAGTAAGTAGTATACAGACTTGTATTTAAGAGCCTTGAGATGTGTGGATGCGAAGCTCTGCCGCCAGAGCAGCACTGAGGTGTACACGAAGATGCAGATGTTGGCTGAGATCAGGATTGACATCACACTGTACATGTAGTACCACTGCTGCTTCTTGTCTGCTCACAAAATGCCGTAATTTAGTACAACGAATTTCAAATAAAATCGTTCATGAACTCGTGCCGCATTGTGACGTCATAACTTACAAATATAACTGAATTTAGAATATTCCAAATCTGAACATCCAAGTTCAATCTAATTAACGCTTTTATAATTTGCCTTTAAATACTTTTTTATTGTTGTTTTTTTTTATATATCGTGATCATTGTTCCATTTATTCTTAATTGAAATTCAATGTAGCTATTGATCGATTGTCAAAGAGCTGTAACGCGTACAAAAAAACATCCACAAGACTCGATATGGGCGCGGCACAGAACAATTTATTTGACATTTATATTCTTGTATACTTCCATTCAAATGTTATGGCCGCTCGAAATTTTATTAGAGGCTTATCTAAATTCAATTTCATCCATTAACAATAGTACGTGTGATAGACACGAATGACTTAGTGGTATGTAAACTATGCAAAATATTACTTACTGTAAAACCCGCAGTATCTGAGTCCAATACCAGGCTTCTGATGATTTCCCGGCATAAAGTTAACAATAGCCATGCCTACGGTGAGTACCGTGCTCGACCCCCAAGCGTACAGAGCGTACCACGCGAACTCTTTCCATCCATAGTCAACTTTTAATGGACGTCTGAAACAATAACTACATATTACATCTATCGAACATATGGCTTTACTTTTCTATATGAATTTGGACTTAACAAATACTTCGCAGCAGTCTTAGCAAGTCGTACCACGACTATACAAAATTCATGTTACGCGTTTCGTCTGACGAGTATGGTTCTGGTAGACACAATCCCCCTCATGATTAGTCCTGTTTCCCAAAATAAATGAGACCCAATTTAGCAGGTGAGTCATGAAGGACGAGTTCAATATTTTTGAATAAAGCATCTACTTAAGCATAAATTGTCAATAAATTTAATCCACTAATGCTTGTAACTCGTAAAACAGTTTATCATGTCTCTCCGTATAAACATTCTCTTATTTTCTCAAACAATGTTCCTTAAAATTTACGTCGAGATTTTCCTGTTACAGTTTCATTTTCACTGAAATTCGCACATATTCAACAATGTTATCTAGATCGTTAACATTTCTTATCTTGTTCGTAACCAATTTACAGCAGAGCGAATATTTTATAATTCACTTGGGTTTCTGAGACCAAAATCTTTGTGTAAAACATATTATTATCTATATTTTGACAAAGATAATGACAAGGATGATGATTTTTACATATTTAGTCTCAGAAACCCATGGTCACACGTATTTAGCATCAAAAACCCGTGTGTGACGTATTCATTAATATTTTTGTACCTTAATTTTCCAATCGATAACTAATTAATCGTTGAGTTGAATATAAATAATATGAAATATAGAAACATACCTCATGCTACGTAGTATCTGTATGGATATCGCATTGCTCCAGAAGAAACTAGCAATAAGGAAAAAGTAAATCAGAAAACCTGAAAACATATTCATATTAGTATTGTTTAAACATTGCGTATATATTTTATATAGATAAATAAATACCTCTAGTAGCACAAAGATTCATGTCTTGAAAAAATGTTAGGAGATTGTTGATGGCTATGCAAAGTAAACCCAGCGCAAGAGACACGCAGAAATTAATGAAACTCTTCCCATTTAAATCCCTGAGAACAAAAACAATCAATTAATAAAATACAAACTTTCTAAACGTAAACATAGTGATCACACGGAGTGTTAAGGGAACGTACCTATACTACGTAACCCGTTTAGGGAGGGAGGGGTAGCGTAGTTTAAAATACCACGGTCATTCACAGGTGTGAGGGGTGGCTCAGGTTTTTGTCACGTAGTCGATTTACTGAGAGAAATCTCGTATTTTTATAGCTATATTCGAATAAAGCGCGCAGTGTTTAATATGTTTTCACAAATTTTCTTTTTCATAACACATAATTCACTAGTAATTTAAGCATGCAGTCTTATGCAATAAGGACGAGTATGACTAATTTTTTTTTTTTCAATTTTTGCCTGTGAAAATTTTTAGTTTGAAATTAGTAATATTTTTAACAAAAACATTATTCTTGCCATATATAGCTGCAGAGCTAACTAAATTTCTTACTAACTAATTACTTTATAATACGGTGATTTAGTGTACTAGTATATGATCTTGCTTTCATGGAAATTTAATATTGAGGCTTGTATAAGTCTTTACCTTATCTCCGGTAATGCGATGTACACGAGGGCAGTGAGGAATAAGAAGACGACAGACACCAGCATGCAGTAAGCGGACACCTCGTAGCTGACAAGTGGCTCTGGCGGCACTGGCCTGCATCCCAGCACTGATACAACCGCATCCGCTAGAAAAGACTCGTTCGTGCTTTTCGTGTAATTGGACACGCAGAACCTAAAAAAAATATTACTTAAAAAAGACCAAAAAAATCCAACTGACCACAAACATATATAAAGCGTAAAAACATCTCTCCAGTTATTCTATCATAATTAATGCACGGATTTCTATATCGTATTGCAGACAAGTGCTGTTTATCTTACTAATATCATAAATGCGAGTGTTTAGATGGATGGATGGATGTTTGTTTGAAGGTACCTCCGGAACGGCTCAATGGATTTTGACGAAATTAGGCACACTTATAGAACATATTTTGGAAGAATACATAGGTTACTTATTAGGTTTTGTTTTAATTCCGCGCGGGGGAGTCGCGGGCGACAGCTTGTATGCTTATAAAAATAAATCTTACGTGTTAGGTGCAATCTCGATTTGATCATTAGGTACATTTACAAGTAAGTAGCCGTCTTCTCTGACCGAAAACGAGATAGTATCACTTTCAGTTTCAAATTGAATATCGTGTTCACAAATTATCTCATAAGTAATATCACTATCGTTATTTGTTTTTGGGTCCCAGCACGCGAAAGCGTTTGTTTCATCTTGATATAGGTATAGCCCTGGACTACAGCATAAAGTGTCTTCTAGTTCCACACAATTTGTACTACTAAATAACACTAAGATAATTACAGAACCCGTTAAATAATACATGTTTCAATATCTACGGAGCATAATTAGATTAAAACAATGCGAAAATTTTATTAATAAAAAACTATCGACGTGCGTTCATCTCACGACTTCGCTTTAAACCAACTGAAAATTATTTCGGCGGTTACAAGTTTTATATGTTCCGGTGTTGCCCCGTCATTGCTGTTACCTTACCGTTTTCATTTCATTGATACATTTTAACGTGAATAAATATTTCAGGATAAATGTGTAAATCACTATTATATAAAAATACACATCAAACTATATATGTATTTAGATGTTAAAGATACTTCTAATTTCTACAGAAATGTAATATTTTACAAACTACGAATATGTTATTATTTATTCAGAATCCTGTATCATGTGACATTAAAATTTATCACTGTCGTTTTTAACATATGTGCAGGTTGAATTTGCTCGATAAGCTAAATTCGCCTACATTTGGTAAAATCCATGGTCTGGCAACACTAAAAACAGCTGTAAAAATAAGAGTTGAATTCAACACAAATGAGTATTTTTTTTAGATATTTAGGAATAATCATGGAAACTTTGTTCTTTACATTTCTGTTTTTATAAGTCTGTGAGCCTTCGAGTTTTTTCCTCGATGCATTATTATTTTAGTGATCACATCGTTATCGATTTAGGTAAAGCAAAATAAATTGTCTGAGTAAACGCAATTTTGAATCTTAACTACTAACGTATCAAGTTGAATAAACATAATGATACATGCCTTTCCTCCTCACAATCTGACCGTGGGGCTGAACTTTGGTTTTTTACTTAACCCTTTAAAGACCAATTCAAGAAGTCCCATCCATTGTTCTAGTTTTCATGTAGGAAAAATTAGAAAATATTTTTGTGTTCATTTACTCGATTTATCCAATTCTTTCGAGTATTTCATATTTTTATTTTTAAAAAAGGTCGAGAAACAAGAAGTTTTACTTACCCCGCGCGTTTCTCCAATAACAAGAATCTTTTCAAGTATTTCTTTAATCATTAGACACTCACTTCACTAGGTAAAGAATTAATCTGACGCAACACAAAAGTTTTAAGAGCGCAATAAATGATAAAATTTAAAAATACACATTTTAAAAATTAACTAATTTCACATATTTCCGACAGTTTTCGTAGGTACTTTAAAATGTGCCAGGTCATAGATTAATCCGCAGTTCGACATAGAACAAAATGTACGTGTCGTTGTACGTGTCGGTGAAGTACCGTAATTTTTATAAGAATTACGACAGCGGAAAATTATTTTTGAAAACGATGATTTATTTATTGTAATTAATTTTCACCATCGAGTAGACATTATCTATGATATTTTTTTTAATTTTATTTTATTACCTACAGGATACTCGTGCAATAAATGAACGTGACAATATCGATTATTAAAATCGATCATATTTTTTTAATTGTTTGTCACTCTCTTTTCAACCTATTCTCATAAGGAAAGGGAAAGGGAAGTGGATTTGACGGAGGAATTGTGCCGGTCCATAGGCTTAGTTGTAAGATTTTTTCTTTGAAAATGACTTCAATTTGTTCTTTGAAAATGACTTCAATTTGACTCATGGTCAACGGTCAAAGTTTATAGTAAAACCGTCATTGAAATGTATTCAAGTATGAATCGACGATTGACAAGTTCTAAAATAAATATTGCGTATCATTGCTTATCGCGTTAAACTTATGCATTTTTTAATCCATCTAAAATCGCTGAAATAGCGAAGTGACCGATGCCCATATACATACGCAATTGCATATGCGTAGCCTACCTTTAATCGACGGAGGAGAGGATGCACAGAAAGAAATTATTTTCCCTTCCCATGCATCCTCTCATCCGGAAATTCAACTTCCAGTTCTCATCCTTTTCTTACAAGAAAAAGGATGGGAAGGGAAAGAGGACTAAATTAGGCCTCCGGGACGCACACTCATCAGACTGTACGCGGAATTGCTTCCACTTGACGCCTGTCTCCTGTGTGGTCGTGGTATTTCACTGGGCGAGCCGGGACAATTAGTGCGATGATGTTAAAGCTATCTCTACCACTGCTTATTATTTATACAATTAATAAAATTGGAGTGTCTGTATGTAATATAGAAAAAAAATCTTTCGTACACATAATATATTTGAGTTAAACATATTTAAAAAAAAACGAATTTAACCAAAAGAGTATCTTTAAAGGGTTTCATAATGCAACTCTTTTTTGGTCGTATTATTGGGAATTTAGAAAAGACCCTCAATCTCCATTGTGTTTGTGTTTAGGTCTATGTCGTAGATGCTGGGTCGTGTCGGCAGGCCGGGCATCTTGCTGATCTCGCCGCACATGGGTACCACGAAGCCCGCGCCCACCGACACAAACATGTCGGTGATGCGCAACGTGAATCCTGTCGGTGCGCCTTTCACTGCCGGGTCGCCAGTCAACGAGTTTGACGTCTTTGCCATGCAGATCGGCAACTTGTCGTAACCCTGGACGTAAAACGTTACCAGTATTAAGTATGCTCTCATAAAAAATAAATATTAACACTGGTTTTCAAATATCTTGTCAGCTCTTAATTTCGTGAGAGTCGTAGCGCAGAATACAATTTTAGAGTTGCGCAGGAGGGCACTGTGGAGCGCGCAGATGACATTGGACTACAAAATATTTGAAAAGAACTATACTTAGTTTTTAATTAGTAACTAACCATGGCAGTGAAGACTTTGATCTTCTCGAGTACTTCGTCAGTGTACTCGACCTGTCCGGCGCCGTACATCTGCTTGGCGATGGTGAGCACCTTCTCCTGAATGCTGAGGGTGAGGGGGTAGAGGTAGTTGAAGTGTGAGGGTGAGGAGCAGGCGTCAATGACCGCGTCAGCGAGGTCCAGTGCTCCCGCACCTCCCTGCGCCCAGTGGTCGCACACCACCGCACGGAATGCGCCGTTTGCCTCCGCGTACTGCTTCACCAGGTTCAATTCCGTTTCCGTGTCGTTACTGGAAACATAACGTATCCAATGTAAATACTCTCTGTGATTTTTGTAAATACCTTGTGTCGGGAAAAACTAGGCGTTTCCCTTGATATTTCCTGGATTTGCAGTTTCTTTTAAATAAAATACGTCTTTTCGTCTCGTCATTGAGTCAGGGCTGGTTTTTTTTTCTTTATCAGTTCGACATATGAATGTTCAGAAACATTATAAATTTCAACAAGTTTGTAATTTTCTTTTTTATAGTTGATATTGATTATTATAGTCAATTATTTATTATAGGAATTATCATTAATTGTTAACTACAATGAAACACATAGAATAACATTGAATTTCGTCCTGGTATAAAGGCGGAAAATTAATTAAATAGCCAAACTATTAAAAATTAATTAGTCAAGATAATATCAATCTTAGAATATAACATTAACATCTGAATCTAGATCAGGACCGGTTTTAGCATTTCCAGCGCCCTGGGCCAGATTTTTGCGGTGTTCACTTTTTTGGTTTCGAGTGAAATCTTCCAAAAACAGGATATCTAAGGAGGCGCCCCTTAATACCCTACGCCCTGGGCGGTCGCCCTAACTCGAACTACCCTATTGCCCTTAGTTAAGTTTTTTTTTTCAGGCGCTCTTTAACACAGTTTTTTTCTTTTAAATAACACGACAGAAATAAATTATTATAGAAATGATAAATATCTCACCCGTGGCGGTTGATGGCGACGACAACTGGCACGGAGAAAGCTTTGCCGTTGCTGATGTGCTTGCCCAAATTGCACAGGCCCTTTCTTAGCAGTTCTACGTTCTCCTGTATCATATTAAATTCTCTATATAACGTACATTTTTATCATTTTACTAATATCTCTTACTAATATATAAATGCCAATGATTAGTTGGATGGATGGATGTTTGTTTGAAGTTATCTACAGAAAGGCTGATAAGATCTTGAGAAGATATCTTGATGAAATTTGGCAATGACATAGAACATAGTGTAGAACACATAGGCTATTAATTAAGTTTTTTTTTAATTCCGCACGGACAGAGTCGCGGGCAGCTAGCAACATATATTTTTGTCATATTTAATGGAACTTCTTGATATCTATAAATAAAGAAATGAACTGTGAAAATGACGCGTAGATGGAACTTTGTTTTATGATAAGGCAAAGTCCGCTGTTCATGTTCGCGTCACAAGTATCAGGCCCCCGACGCCAATCTTGTGGTTTTCCCAGTTAGCCGAGTTTCCGAGCTTCGTGGCGGGATAAGTCACAACTTATTTCCGTGACTTTTAACATGTGAGTGCAATCCAAGCAGAATTCCAGTGACATGACATACGGTTTCAATTTTTAGTTAAAAATTCGTCTGCGGGGAATTGTCGATTGTAAACATGACCTAAGTCAACTTTAATGATTCATTGATGAACGTACTGGTAGAAATCAATAAGTTTAACGTGAGTTGGCTTTATAAGAAATGATGAAGTCAGGACTTACTATTATTTTTATGACAGTATGAATTTAAAGTTCCTGAACGTAATTCTTGCTACGATTGGACTTCATAAAAATCACGAGGGATAATAAAAATGATTGTTGCTTTGAGAAGTTATATTGTAACCATGATATACGCAATGAATTGTGGAAGCTCACTGGCTGTACGACGAAGTAATTTGTGCGTATTTGATTTCCGCCATTTTGGCGTTGATTTTTTTTATAACAGAAGGGGGCAAACGAGCACCGGGAACAGGGAGGTGTACAACGACGCCCATGGACATCAGCAATACCAGAGGAACCGCAGATGCGTTGTCGGCCTTTGAGGTGTTGATGGAAGCGGTTTGACGACGGTATGTATTCGATCTAGTAATATGGATAGAATTAACTGTCATGTAACATCAATCGGCGAGTTTAAATCGAAACATAGTAAAAACAGTAATTTCCAAGCAATCGCCTATCTATAGATATCAGTGTGGAAACTTTTAAAGATTAATGTAATTATCGTAATGTTACCTGTACATAGACATCATGGAGAGGTTGTCCAGGTGAGACAGGTGGTCCTCCTCCGTGCATCTTGAGCGCACGTACAGTTGCCACCAGCACCACGCAATGCGGCGTGTCTCCACTCGCCCGACATTTTATGTCGAAGAACTTCTCCATTCCTATACAACGTATTCCATAAGTATACCAACAACACATATTAACCGAGTCGAATCTTTTTTTAAACCATTAATCGACGGAAGGATACGAAAAAACAGAATATTTCCCCGTCGTATACATCTCCTCCTCCCTTCCTCTTCCCATACTTTCTTTATAAAATAAGGTGGGAAGGGAAAGGGTGTAACATTGCTTCCGGCAAGCGCACTCATCAAACGAAAGGAGGAATGGCTTCCGGTCGCCTGTCTTCTGTGTGATCATGGTATTGCACCGGGAGAGCTGACCCATTTATTTTAACACTTCTAGTGTAAAGCAAGTGTGTAGTGTTTGTAGCCGCAGTTTACCTATGTCGGAGCCGAAGCCGGCCTCAGTGGCGACGAAGCCTTGCTCTCCGGCGAGCTGTATGGCGATCCTGTCCGCCAGTATGGAGGAGCAGCCGTGCGCGATGTTGGCGAAGGGTCCCGTGTGCACCAGCACCGGCGTGCCCTCCAGCGTCTGCATCAGCGTCGGCTCCAGCGCGTCCCGCAGCAGCACCATCAGCGCGCCCGTCATGCCCTGACACATACCAAATACCATCACTGCTGGTAACTACTCAACTTTGACATACTCAGTCAAGTATCTTTTGAGACCTAACAAAGTATTGTTTTCGAATATCTATACATATTAATAAAATTTGAATGTCTGTATGTAAAATTGAAAAAAAAAAAAAATTCGTACATACTTTGTATTTGCATATCCGATAACAAAAAAAACAATTTTAAATTAAAATTTTTGTCCGTCTGTCTGTATGTCTGTCCACTAGGCCTTTGTTCTGGGTAATCTCCGAAACAGCTGGACCGACTTTGACGATAAGGTAGCTGATAGACCCAGGCATATTATAGACTACATTTTTTTTTAATGATACGCTGACGAAGTCACCGGCGATCGTTAGTCTACTATATCATTATGTAATAATAAAATAAATTCAACATAATAAGTCTTTTCACTGGTAAAGTATGAGCAGAAACATTGCTATTTAATTTCAACAGGCGTTATATAGATGAAAATATAACATCATGCTTATCGTTTTAAAACAATTATTTAAAAACCATTTATAATTTTATAAATTTTAATCTTGTAATAAAATGTGAATAGTAGTGTTAATACCAGGTCATCTGCGGTGACTGGCGAGCCGCTCTTATCCAGTGCGACCACCATGGTGGCGAGGCGCTGCTTGATATCGTCCACGTTTCTCCCGAGCGCCAGGATGGCCATTATCTCTGACGCCACGGATATATCGAACGCGGTCTCCCGAGTGAAGCCCTTCTCCGTCGGGGATTGACCGATCGTTATTTTTCTTAGATATCTATCGTTTAAGTCCACAACTAAAAAAATAAGAAAGTTATTCATAAATATGACAACATTCGCGAATAAAGCTTAAACATATAAATAAACGTTGTTTTTTTTCAAATATTAATAGATATATGATTAATATTTGAAAAGACTTAATTATAGCAATGTACAAAATACGAGAATTTTTATGTATGACTATATTAATAAATAGTACTCTAGATGTACAGTCAGCTGCATAAATATGTAACATACATTTACAAAGCCTCCAAAAGTAGTATATTAACACTAGTATGAAACTTATATATTAATTTTAAAAAGTATGTAAATATGCGTATCCGTCCTTATGCTTCAGACTATATTTACATGTTATTAACAAATTCGTGCATAAGTATTATTGAAACTGGAAATTATACAAGTTATTAAAGTTTGTAAGTGTACAAATAATTTTGCAGCTGACTGTACAAAATGCATACAGTGTTTTAACAGTAAGTCTCGCAGTAAGGTTTTAGATATCATTTCTTTGAAACACTATTAAATAAAAAAAATATATTTACCTCTGTTCCACATAATCTTGTTTGTATCAATATTAAGCCTGGCGAACTTGGTCCTTTCCTCGTCTGTCAGAGTGTCAGGGTCTGTCTTGTTGATACCCAGCCTCTTCAGTCGTCGCAGCTGGATTGCGGAGAACTTCCTAACACCCTTCACCTTGGGCACCAGCCGGTCGTACAGCGGCCCGTCCTTCTGCGTCAGCTCGTGGAATATTCTAGCATCCATTTGTGCCGCCAACAAATTGTTAGCGGCAGTGACTGCGTGGATGTCGCCAGTTAGATGTAAGTTAAAGTCTTCCATAGGGATAACCTGGAAAGTTTATTTTATTTTTTTCTCGATCTACATATCTACATAGACAAGGCCAGTTTCAGTATTTCCGAGTTTTAGCGGCACACCTATTTTGTTAGTTTCGTGAGAAAACTTCCAAAAATAGGGTATTTTAGGGGGTTCAGCGGAGCCCCTCTCGCGCCGCGTTCGACTCTTTCGGCGCTCCCTTATGTCCGCCGCCCTGGGTTGTTATCTCAGCTCTCTCTACCCTAATACTCTACCCTTACCCTATACGTATATCTTGCTATTGGTTGTATATCGATGAATACTCGAAAATCGTATAAAGATTAGCCGTTGAAGGTGACTAGGCGGATTAGTAGTAGTTTTATGAAGTTAACGACGTAGTTACAGTTAGATGTAAAAAAACAGTCTGGGAAGTATTTTTTCATTAGTTACCTGGGAGTAGCCGCCACCAGCAGCGCCACCCTTGACTCCGAAGGTGGGTCCCTGACTGGGCTGACGCATGCAGGCGAAGGCGTTGCGGCCGCGATGTGCGCACAGCGCCTGCACCAACCCCAGCAGCGTCGTGCTCTTGCCCTCGCCCAGCGGTGTCGGTGTTATACTGCATCACACACACATACGATCATCACCTCACCAGTCACCACCAACAGCGGTACAAGACAGCTTGTTGCGTCTTGTAAAGGGATTTCCATAGATTTCTAGATTAATTGATCTTTGTGTAGATCGCTTAGCTTGGGTGTAACTTTGTCGTTCAAATTATTCACGAGAATATGTTTTAAAATTCAATTCAAAAATATTTAACTACTAATATTTTTCAATGATATTTTTCTTTTGCATCTAGTTTAGTTTTTAAAACATTATTTTAAAGACAATAATTCGCGAAATAGATTAAGTAAAAGCGTTAATCTATTTCGAGAATTACTATATTCAAATATTGTAAAAGTTAGTAGGTTGAAACTACGGAAAATAAAACGATTTTGGCTAGAGAGGAAAGAGATGTGTATTGAGCGAGAGTTAACCGGGTACAGAGCGGAATGACAAGTTCAAAATTTAAATTTGGATTTACAAAAATCTTAATCCGTGCAAGTAATCCAATAGTTGTCCAAAACTGTTACTAGTCATAATTTAGTAGGGGCTTAGCCTAGCTTAGCTTAGAATATATGTTTGGTACATACCCAGCGACGACGATGTACTTGCCGCCGCGCTGGTCGCGCAGACGGTCCAGCACAGAGAGGGAGATCTTGGCCTTGGTGCTGCCGTACTGCGACACCTCGCTGGGGAACAGACCGATCTCCTCCGCCAGCCGCGAGATATGCTTCGGCTTCTGAGACCGCGCTATCACGATGTCACTGACACGAACAAACAACACATAAAACCTTTTTCCATTTCTAATTTTTGAACAAATAGATAATGAAATTTCTAAAACACTTTAACATTAGTGATTCTTTTAATATTAACTTACATCCGACCTCAACAAGAAACTTTTTTGTTTATCGAAGTTAACACCAACTTAAAGAATTCAGTCAAAGGATTGCATTACTTATGTTTTTTTTTTTTATAAGAGAAGGGAGCAAACGAGGTGATCAACGATACCGATGGACATTTGTAACACCAGAGGAACTGCAGATCCGTTTCTTGCTTTAGCAGATTTATTTCAAACGGGAGTTTAGGAATCTTTTCAACCATCGCAAAAGAGAATAACCAGTGCTTAGCTCTAGTGACTTTAAAACAATTTTTCTATCCCTACCGACCACCGGACTCCAAAGGGCAATATCGACTATATTACTAATGCTGTAAGTCTGCCTAGAAAATATTTAACCGTCAGTACTGTACCTGGGCGGAGGGGTCTGCAGGTTGAGACGCAGCACCTGCAGGGGCCAGGCGGGCAGCAGCAGACGCTGCAGCTGCCTGCGCGCAGCCAGCACGGTGTTGCGCATCAACATGGCCACAGTGAGCGGTCCCACGCCGCCCGGCACCGGCGTCACATGCCCCGCCACCTGCACCGCCTCGCTGTACGCCACGTCACCTACCAGACGCTGACCACTCTTCTTTGTCGCGTCTACAATAACGTTACACTTACCAAAACTGACTGATATCTCTAATTATTTAAACAAAGGGTTGATGTTATTTTTAGTTACTTTATATTCACAGAGAGGTTTAATTAAGCGCTTATCGTACGATATGTATAATGCAATATTATGAGAAGCAGAAGTGTGTAACGAACGTCCGCATAATGTTTATAAACAAGCATGTGGGACTGTGGGTTGCCATTACTGAAATACCTGCACATAAACATAGTTATCTCTTTCTATCAATATTATAAATGAAAGAGACGATAATATGGTTTGACTATTTCGAAAGTGGAATTCTACCATAGGTTAGTGAAAAGTATTTAGTACAAAATTACCTGGTATAGGATTTATTCCGCAATCAATTACGATCGCTCCAGGTTTAATCCATGAGCCGCGGACCATTTCAGCCCTGCCAATGGCCACCACTAAGATGTCAGCGGTCTTTGTCTAAAACGGATAAAAGTTGATATGATGCTTATACTAGAGGTAACAACAGGCAAGTCTCAAGAACAAAGGCTTAGTATTTGTTTTATAATGAGAAAAAAAATGGCCTGTAAATATTAATGGCCTATAAAAATACAAATAAGAAAATTTCTTACATAATCTTACACATCGTGATATTTCGTATTGGTTAGTTTCAAATACATAACTGCATACAATTTCCAATAAGATTTACAAACTGAAACACTTACCGTGGGTTTCTGAGACCAAAATGTATAAATCATATCGCCATCCTTATCATCTTGACAAAACATTGATAACAATATACAGTGATAACAATATAGGTTTAAAACGGATATTTTGGTCTCAGAAACCGACAGTTGCTTATTCCCAATATGAGATATATACTAGTATCCTATAGTTACGAACCGGCAGTAAACAGTTACAGACTTACGATTTCACTCAAGTCGTTAGTCTTGGAGTGGCAAACAGTAACTGTTGCGTGTTCCCATTTGAGGAGTTCTGCGACCGGTGTGCCAACAATACGGCTGCGGCCGAGCACCACAGCACGCTTTCCAGCTATACTGACGCCGGTCCGCTTGATCAGCTCAATACAGCCCGCCGGAGTACACGGCACAAAGCCTGAGAAGTCACCGATAGCCACGCGACCCTCGTTCTCAGTGTTCAAACTGGAGGGAATGGAGATTTATGATTAATAGAAGCGTTACTCTTTGGCCTGTTGTAAACAAGGCATCGTAAATCGTCGAAACTAATATAGTATGGTTGCGTAGCGCTCTAAACAACGACGAATTGTGGACGCGAGTCGTCTATTCGGTCAGTAAAGGCATACCTCTGCCATCTTGAAAATTACGGCTACTTTTCTCACGACGATATTGACAAACAGGTTGCTGCGAAACGTAGGCGATTCTCGCTGTGTACGTTCTATGATGTTGGACTGTGTTAGTTGCTCAGCAACTAAAATCGCCAGTATACAAAGATTTACGTTGCCTTGTGGAAGAGCTTTTTATTAAATTTATTCGAAGATACAAGAAGACATGTAACTATATCATCACTTTACCCGTCAACGTCTTTGTGCGAGGATACAGCGTCAGTAATGAGATGTGAATCAATCTGGTGATCAGAGTCCAGCGGCATCTGCACAATTATACCGTGCACCTGCGGAGACTCGTTCAGGGCTGTCAACTTTGTCAGCAACTACGAAAATAATAAAATAAATGTAACATAATTTATAGGCAATTATATAGAGAGTCATTCGTTTAATTTTCGGAAAACATAACCCTATTACTATTTACGGTTACATTTAAATCGTAAACACAACAAAATACCAGTCGCAAAGAAGATTCTCAGTCTGGGCTTTACAAAATTCATTAGCATAGAACATCTGAGTTCATTATAAGGGATAAAATTGTCAAACATAAACCTATACTATTCAAATAATTTGACAATGATCGATTTAATAATATCTTAATATTTGTACTTAATACAGTGAATCTGTAAACAAGTTGTTAAATAATAATTGCGTCATATCAGATCACAGTTAGCAGTTCAAAGAGCAAGGATGTAAACTAATTATGTTATTGTAATATAACTGGACTGATATAACGTATCGTTTTAATTGAAAATAAGAGAAAGTCTTCTAGACAATTGAAAAGTAGTTTACTAAAATTGAAAATTTTTAATATAAGCATTAGAGCAAATATTTGCACGAATACATAATAAGTATGTAATTAAGTATGTACAATTGAGAAAACAATATTCAGTTATTTGGTGTTATCAAATTTACGTCGTATAATCGCGTCATGTGACCCTGAACCATAATGAGTTTGTTATATCATTATGGAACAAAATAAAGATAGGTTTTTGCGAATCGATATAATAAAAACGTTTGTACCAACATTTAGACGTTCTAAAGAATCAGATTTAACGTTGCATGATACTTAGCAAACATCATAGTTATAGACCTTATTAGTTAAAATCAATTGGCGCGAATTGCGCGCTTTTGGTACCAAGTCAATTGTCAAAATGATTAGTGAGGGAACTTAAACAATGACATTTTAGTAAGCCTAGTATTGCTCCAGTGCACCGGCACAATGTCGGAGTTTCTTCCTAACAATAGTAATACATTAAATAACAATAATACAACTCAATAAAATTACAGAAAAAAATACTATTCTATTCAAATGTCTTTTGAGCAGAAGATCGACAGCTTTATGCGTATTCTTTGAAAATTTGTTCGAAGCAAAACAATTTGGCAAAAATAGTATGGCATCAACTCTACTAATTTAAAGAAATACAAAAAAAGACTAAAACCAATTCAAATTCGACTTACTTCTGTTTGCGTGCAGTCTCTCGGCAATCGGACATGTTCAGCCAAGATGCCTATATTCTCAGCTGCTTTTAATTTCATCCGGATGTAGACGTTGGAATCCTCGCGGCCGCCGACCTGCACGATGGCCAGCCGGGGCTGCGCGCCGGACGACTGCGCTCGGAGTTCAGACACCTGTTGACGTAGTTCATCTTCGATGGACCTGTATTTAAAATTAATTATTAAAATTAACCCTTAACTGACGACCCTAATTTACTATAACTTACACTTACACGATGATGATGATGAGAACATCACTATACTATCAATTATTGGTAAATTTACTTTACTTTTACCGTAAATTTGTTTATTTCCTAGTGATACATTTTCGCTGACGTAAAATATTGGTATCCTTACAAAAATCACATTAAAAACTCTTTTTGAAATGAGAGAATAGTTCTCTAAAAGTAGTAGTAATTAATTGTGTAGGTAGTTTAAAATTGCACTGACATTATCTTAATTTAAACTACAACCTTTTTTATGAATAATAAAATAAAAATAAATTAAAATAACTTAAGACAAGAATTACAGTAATATCATACCGAGCTATTTCGGTTCCTGAAATCACTTTAGCCACCATCCTAATATCGTAACGTAGTCGCCTTCTTGCTCACTTTGCAAGAACATTAAGAGTAAACTGAATTCATATATAAAGAGCCATGGAGCATCACCCGTGAACCACGATAACCTCAGTCAGATGATATAATAACTATTAAAGTAAGCAATAACATATTTATAGATATTATCTTAATCGATTTATTTGTTATTTGCAAATTCTTTAATTACAAATAAGTCTAAAGAAATGGCCAAAAAGTGAAATTTCTTAAAGTCTCTAAGTTTTACATTGGGTTCCTGGAATGGTCTGAAAGTGTTTGTACAAAAGATTTCTAGTTTTTTTTTCTTTTAATAGTTATTTAATACCTTCAAATAATCATTACCGATTAGCTCTTCTTTAGCTAATCCTAGCCTTTTCTTTGCAACCAGTATTTTGTCGCTCGCTACTCCGTCCGCGGAGAATTTAAAGAAAACATAATTAGCCTATGTGTTCTAACATACTGTTCTATACGTATGCCAAATTTCATCGTGATCCGTTTAGCTGTTCTGGAGATACCTTCAAACAAACATCCATCCATCCATCTAAACATACGATACGATTCTCGCGCTATTGATAACTAAATATGGGCGTTTTTGTTTGCCTTATTGCCGAATTGTGATAAAAGGCAGTAAAAACCTGTTTATACTTGTACTTGGAAAAATGTCACAAATTATCAAAATCTTTGCGTTTCTTGACGTCGTTTATGATTTTTTTGTCATACCCGCGCTAGAGTGTTTCGTTCTGTTCTTTGGTTAATCACAAAAATCAGTCACGCATCTTTGAAACTCTATGCAAACAATCGCGTGTAGGTAATTGATATAAGTTTGGCCAATTGTAGATAATAATAGTTTCTAAATTACTATAGTATTTTTTATCGTGATGTAGCGTATTTGAAGAACATGACAAAGTCTCATATTTGTCATGTATTTGTCGAGTAGTTTAAGTTACATTTTTATACAAAATATAGAGGATAAGAGGTAGATTAATCTTCATTAATATATATGGCCTAATCACCCCTAATATAGGGGTAGGCTCCGAGCCCCTCGGTGGGGACCTATAGTGAGCTAATGATGTATCTTCAATTTAAATTCGAGCGCAATTACAAGACATACAAACTTATACTTTTGCGTCTTTTTTGAGATTTTATACATCTCAATATATTTTAGATGTGATAAACGTATTTATAGGAAATTCTTACCTTCTACATTTGGTACAAAATGTTTCTATAACATTAGAACAGTAACGTCGAACAAAACTAAACATTTAAATTAAAATAATGACTGGACACTTTCCTGGAAACAAGTCTTTTAAGTATAAATTTATTGAAGAAGTGTTCCAATACTAAATAGAGATAAACTTTGTTCGGGAAGAGAGTAAAGGTCATTAGAGTATTTTGTTTGTGATGTGAAAGAAATTGTGATAAGTAAACAAGTCATGTTACTTAATGTTACTTTTAAACTTAATATAATATAAGCAAGATAAAAACTATTTATTAATAATCCAGTAACAAGAGACGATCAAGTAGAAACATTCATCTAACAGATCGGATGCCCTGGATTCAATTCCATAACATTCAGTGTTGAATTCTATTAAGCTTAAATATATTCCACGAAGTATTTGTTGACCAAAAGTGCTAGGAAGGTCGAAATAAAAGTATAATTTTCGCGTAACGCGTTTTACGCGTAAAATATTAATTCAAATAAATACTTATTGCTATTTCTAAGAACTACACAACGATAGCAAAAAACATGTCCTTGCCAATAACTGTAGAGTTTTGAATAATTTTTTACAAGACGAGTCACAAAGTATGTAGAGTTTCTTAACTCGATAGATAATTATGATATTTTCAAAAGAATGGATTGAGTTACAATGGACATAAGACACTTAGATATGTACGAAGTCCGGTTTAGATTGTCAACATTTTCAATATGATCTGTAATAGGAGACGTACTACTACGAATAAGGAGTAACTTAAGTACAGTTAAGTTACATATGTTATTAAAAAAAGACTAAAAATAAATCAATATTACTTTTAGGAATCTTATCTACTCAGGAATTAATACATGAAATCAAAACAAAAAACTATATTTTCTGTTACAAATACTTTATATTTCATTAAAGTGAACTTTTAATCATTAATTCTAACAATTGACATATGAATTAAAATTAACACGACGAAGGAGAAACTTTAACCACAATACATGCTTACATATTACATAACAAGGTAAATAAAAACGTTACTTACTGTAATACATTATCAATGCCCTCTCCTGAATTCCACATTATCACGCTGTATAGCGTGTTTATTTATTAAAATTTTATTCACAGACCAGCCGGCGTTATGGCCATGAAGGCACACCGCATACTAAAGAGAAACCACGTCTTGTCAGAGCATAAGTGGTCAGGCAGGTAAATCTATTTGACCGTAGATTTACACTAACCTGTATAAAATGAACGACAGCCATCTTTTTCCTTTCCTTTGAAAAGAACAGAGACAACAATATGTTTTTGTTCAACTTTTTCGGTAATCAAATAGGTGCTAATAAAAATATTCTAAAAACATGTAGCATAAAGGATGTTTTGTATATGTCGCGTATATGCTAATTATAGACAAATATCTTCTAATTTGTATAGAAAACATTTAAATTGTATTATTTTGTAAATAATAAAAAATTTAATGTTAATTTTTATACCATAAGACTACTCTGAAACTATATGCTTATATTCTGATTTCGAACTTATGTCTCAAGCGACTCTTTTTCGCTTCGCTTCTAATTCGCTTTGACGACCGTCCTACGGCCTTTATTATTTTAAGATTCAATGGCCATGAAGTATCCTTTATGTACATACAGACTTCTAGAGTTCTGCCTTGTACTAAAATACTGACAACTTACCTGTAATATTTCTGATTGATGCGCGTTGATAAATACTTGTTTACTTCAGGATTAGTCAATGCAAGTATATGGTAAAGGTATTGTATAATGTATTTCAGATATCTTGGCGGCTCACTTCGCGTGAGTTGTTGCGCAGAATACAATATAAGGTGTGTTGGGGTGTAGCGGGATGCGGGAGGTGAGCACTGCGCAGTGGACCTTGGACTGCAAAGATATTTGAAAAGATTTATACCATGCCATAGTATTCTTTACAAATGTATGCGCATGCGCTGATTCCATATTCAGTATCTTTCAGATTTGGTTTTTGAATCGCAAAATTATCTGTCAGAAAATATATTTTTATGAAAAAAGGATTTATTATTAATTGAAACTAATAAACATTTATTCAATATTCATCAAATAAAATGAAGAACAAAAAACAGATAATCAACAAAATAACTGAACATGTCCGAAATATTTGTAACACTTTTATGTTAAATCTAAACAATTTCCTTAATAAAACTACGGTAATCATTTAATTACTAATACAGAGAACATTATTGTTATTAAAAAATCACAACTGAAGTATAAGATATTAAGTTATACATAAGCAAAAGTAAATAGGAACTACTTGCTACATAGCAAATATGAATCAGGTATTTGGTATAATTGTAGTACATATACATGTTGTTATATATCTAAAATAACAGCTCACTATTTAATAATGAAATAAATCGAATGACACTAAAGTTATCTTAACGCTAAATACTTAAATTAATAATTTTAAAATAGTGTTCAATAAATGAAGTTTGGAGGTATCCGGCTCGAAGGACCATAAATATTTACAAAAGAAATGATCCTAGTTTTTAATTTATTGACCTATAATATGTGATATAGACCAAGGCGGTAGGTAGGTGTAGGTGTGTGTGCTATTGTTTGTGTGTGTGTGTGTGTGATAGTTTCCTGTCATTGATATCTGTAAAAAGTGGTCTGTTACATTTTTTCTGTAAATAACTTAAATTGTGTAACTTATAAGAGATTATAAAAATCAGTTTTTAAGATCTATATAGAAATTAACATATCGTAATTTAAGATTTTAATTAAACTAATTTCTAGGTTTAACCTTATATCACAACATATGTACGCTAATACATATAACAAAGTTTTTACAGTAGAAAAAATACTATTTTAATGTTCCTACATGCTAATAAATGTCACTATTGCGTTTTTACTTTTACTTATAAAACACATATTTCTTTTAGTTCTGGAAATAAGAGTTAGAAACTTATATCAATATCACGTCAACACAATTCAATAGAATTTTCAATTCAAATTCAATTCTTATTATTCAAAGAGAATGCTCTCATGCCTATAAACTTCAATATGTTGTTATACAATTTGAACAATGTAAACTCACATTAGTAAATACATTACTTAACAGTAGAGTAAGCAAAAGTCAGGGACGTCATCAGCCGATGATCTAGACTAGATGTAAGGGGTGGCTAGTAGAAAAATATATTATTTATTCCAAAGATAATACTTAATTAATGAAGAGATGAATCTGACAAGTAGTTTTTGAGTCTTTGAGGTTAGTGAGTTAGGGTGGTTATGACTGCACATCTCGCAGGTCGTCCTCCTTCTCTTGATGCATGTTGGAGTAGAGATGTATGCGCATGGCGGGCGCGGGCAGCGGGCCCGTGTTGCACAGCTCGCACGTCAGCTCCTGACTTGACGACGATGATGTCCTGATGGTCAACATAAAGGGTAACAAAATGAATCTCTACTCTATAAAGAGATTTGTATTGTATCGTAAAATGTCCAACTTTGAACTCGACAACTTCGATCTTTCGCGTCGATATTTTGAATTGAACAAACTTAGTCATAACAAAATTAAAATAATCTATATTTGATATATTATTATAATTGTAAATGCTAGTAGAAGTATACAAAGTGTTAGGTAAGCAGGTATGAGAGTTGACCTGGCGAGCAGGTTGTGCAGCGCCTGGTTGGCGTTGTAGAGACGCAGCAGGTCAGTGCGGGGCGGCGCGTGCAGCTCCAGCGGGCGGTGCAGCGCGAACACGAGCGCGCGCTCCGCCATGCCGGGCACGCTGATCTCCAGCAGCTCGCTCTCGTCCGCAGACCGCCACCGCCACGCATTCGCCACGCAGCACGACTCGCGGTGCTTGCGTCGCTTGCGCAGCAATCTGACGTCAAGTTGTTATCTCAGAGAGCTTCTCGTTGAGGACGATGACTAAGCTTTAGTCAACCATACTCCAGTACGGATTAGTTATATCAGTACATGAACATTAGTTTTGATTGCATTGACAGTTTGGTATAGGAACCTCCATTTTATCAAAGAGTATGAAAGAGATGGCATGTTTTAATAAGTATAACCGCACTGTAGTTGTAAGGTAAAAGTAAACACATAAAACATGGCCATAATTTGTATGTTTGAACATCCTGGACTGTGTCAAATTCGTAGTCTCTGTTTACTCCTTTAGGTTACGGACGGTACTAACTTCATAATATCCTCTCGTATGAATTTGGGCACTTTGGGATGGAACTCGTCATCAGCGGTGGGCGTGTCCTGACCCTCACTGCAGAACATCATGTAGTCCATCAGGTGCCGCACGTGGTTTATCTACAAATTACGCAAAGTTAAACATCAAGATACACAAAACAATCTATTTCATCACTCTGTCTCTCTCTTTCTCTCTGTCTCTGTTTCTCACCAAGCCGATATCATCCACATCCAGGTCAACGTCTATATTGACGAGTATATCGTGCTCGGGGAAGTATGGTCGGCCATCGTCATGACTGCCCAGACCACACAGCGTGCTCACGTAGCGCGTACACCGCTCGTCGCGGCGCAACTCAGCTCTGCAAACAATTACTTACATTATAAAAACAATGCGTCGCATTATCATCAACCTGCCCACTTTGTTTGCCCACTGAAGGACATAGGCCAAATGCCTTCCACACATTTTTTTTTATTTTTACTGTCTGTGAATTTTGTAGATGAGTGCAAGCATATTTTTTTTTTAATATTGCGCGAAGTCGCGTGCGACTGGTAGTATATTATGAAAAAGTAAAAACTTACGCAGGACAGAAGAGCAATGCGATGATAGCGGGCAGGCCAGGTATGTTGGGCATCAGGGTTGTGTGGTGCAAGGTCAGCGTGCTGCCCATCTCGTTCTGTCCCACTTGGGCAGCTACTAATAATCTACCAAACAAACAGTTTTTTTTTAAATAAAAACTTTATTAAACAAACTGCAGATTCTTTTATGCCCTTCTTTTTTTTTCAAATAAAAAGAAAAATTCTTCTTAATATTATAAATGCGAATGTTTGGATGGATGGATGAATATTTGTTAGAAGGTATCTCCAGAACATAGTTTGGAAGAACGCATACTCTACTAATTTTTTGTCAATTTCGCACGGACAGAGTCGCGGGTAATCGCTAGTTAAGTATAAATGAAATATTAACTTTTCATAAATCTCCTGCGGCTCAGTATCCAACAGCACAGAGTTGACAGAATTCCACTCGATATTAACCTGTTTCTCCCGACCCGCGTACATCAGATTGTGAACGCTGATTTCCAATGGACTGCACAAACAAATCATTATAAAATTATTATTATTAAAAATATATTATTGCCACATTCGCGTTTTAAACAAAAATATTAGTAATAAAAAAAATCTATAATAGATTCAAATAAAAATCATAAATATGTTCCATAGACACACTAAAAACACCATACTTTGTTGATTTATTTGAGTTTTTAAGTTAAGAAAAAAACTTAAACCGGTATTATAACATATTGGTTTTTAACTATAATACTTATATTGAGTTTTCCAAGAGGATAATTTTGTACAAATGAAATGAAAACCCACGTTTAAATTTTACTAATATTATAAATATGAATGTTTAAATGGCTGGATGGATGGATGTTTGTTTGTTTGAAGATATCTCCAGAACGGCTGAAGGCTGAACGTTGAAATTTGGCATACATATAGAACATAGGCTACTAATTATGTTTTTTTTAAATTTGGTGCGGACAGAGTCGCGGGCGATAACTATAAGTAATAACGATAAATATCAGAGTAATACCTAAATGGTCCTTTCAAGCATACATCTGTTTCACATTCCTTATAATTGGGCGGATCTATTTCATTCATGTGATAAAACGCTGCCTCGATCTGCTCCTTGTTGTAAGCCCGCTTTTGAACCATGTTCAGACTATTCGCCATCTCTCTCACGTCGTGGTTTAACTGTAAGAAAATATAACATTAGTACAAAGATTTAATTAATTGTGTGGTATGAACTTTAATAATACAGTAAACCTCTCATATTTTATTATAAAACTAGCTGTCGCTCGCGACTCCGTCCGCTAGCAATTAAAAAAACTTGATTAGTAGCCTGTACTAAATTTAATCAATATCCGTTAATCCCGTCCGGAGATACCTTCAAACAAACATTCATCTAAACATTCGCTTCAATTTCAGAACTTGTCGAATACAAACAAACAATCAAACCTTTTCTATTTATAAAATTAGTATAAATAACATTGTTTTATTAAATTACCTTAGATTCATAGCTTTCCTCGCATGGTACGGCGAGGCCTTTATCCAAGAGCGCTTTGTTGACGCTCGTCTTGCCTTGCTCCGCGAATAACTCTATTGATACCACACCATTCACCACTGAATACACCTGTACAAATATATTATTTAAAAAATAAAAATAAAGTTTAAATATAAAACCAATATTTGATTTTCAGAAATACTTATTTTACAACAGATGTCCGTATTTAAAGCCAAACTGACATATTCATTGTATTATTACTTAATATGAAAAAATATGAAATAACTAGCTGTCGCCCTCGACACTGTCCGCGCGGAATTAAATATAGCCTTTGTACCTTTCAGATTTTGTTCTACATCTATGCAAAACTTCAGCGAGATCCATGCAGTGGTGCTAGATACATTCTAACATCCATCTATCCATCCATCCAAACTTTTGTATTTATACTATCAGTAAGAATTATGGTATACGACGAATCCTTCAGCCATAGTATCATTACAGAGGTCTAAGTATACTGGTTACCTTGCCTAGCAGTCGACCGCGTGTGATGAGCGTAGTAAACAGATGGTCTGCTGCAGGTGTCCAGTGCGCGTGGTGGTCTAACAGCGGCGCAGGTGCAACACCAGCCAAAGAACACCGCATGGCCAGTGGAGGCGTGTTGCTGCACACGCCTGCAGGCAGCTCTCGTACGCTGCATGTACTCACACGTCCGTAGCTACCGTAGTCTATGTACAATACCTGCAATAGGTCTTTTATTTTAGGTTTTAAGGGTTATTTTCACTTACTCTAAAATATATATTATGCCACTTTTAGTTTATCCAATCCAGTGATGGAAACCAGCGCTGGATAACAATTGTAATGTAAAGCCACATTTGAAATACACCGTATTGGTTTCAATTATTTTATAAAGATCATTATTTTGCAACTTTTATAGCACTAAAAAATCGCCAAGAATATTGGTATAAAAAAAAAATTCAATTTAATTTATTAAATTGTCAAATTACCACATTGATTTACGTCCCTTGACGCAAAAAATATTTTTTAAAGTAAAATCTCACCTCTAGCATATCCCTGGGCAACGTATTAACAATTCTAGCACGATAGAACGATGTGCCGGCTGCACTAACGTAGGGTGCGGCACGCAGCACGCCGGCCCGCTCCCCGCCAGCACTCGCCAGCAGCGTGCCGCGGTTCAGAGCTGCCTCTATCTGACGCAACTCTGTAGCTGTTGACTCATCGTCGTACTGCACCCAGAACTTGCTCACCGATATGTACTGAAATCATTTACATATCTTGTTAGAATATATATTTAATTAAATACCCGTCGATTGCGTTCGCACGAAATTAATATATATTTTTTTATATTATAAGGTGGCCGCTAATGCGAAGCGACCGTTGCCAATAGACAACCGAAACTGCAGACGCGTTCCCTACCTATAATCGACAGAAGGGATGCGCAGAAAAAGAATACCGTCCGTACCGATTAAAATTAGGCCCCCGGTACCACGCTCATCAGACGAAACGCAGAATTTGTTCCTCTTCACGCCTATCTTCTGTATGGTCGTGGTATTGAACCAGGCGAACAGACCAATTCGTGCGAAAATGTTAAAGCGGGCTCTAGCACTGTTAAAACTTTCCCATTAAGTCAATATCTATTAAAATTACTAATTTTTCAAATGGATCTTACTTGCGATAGTTTGAGAGGGAAGTGGGTGTCATCAATTTCCGGCAATCGCGGCACTAACTTGTCCAAGTCTACATTAGTGGTGGCTCTCTCGTACGCCGCTGCTAATTCGTTCGCTTTTTCTATACTAAAAAGAAATAAACATATTACTTATTACATATTAGATTTCTTCTTAAATTACTTCACTGTTAATTTTTTTGTCATTTATTATGAACTAGCTGTCGCCTGTGACTCCGTTTGCGCGGAATTTAAAAAAGCTTAATTAGTAGCCTATGTGTTCTTCCAGTCTATGCTCTACATCTATGAGAAATTTCAGAGGGTTCTGTTCAACCATTTTGATCTCCAAAACATTTAAACAAACATACATCCGTCCATCCATCCATCCAAACAGTCGCATTTAAAATATTAGTAAGAAGTAAGATTCATTATTTTGAATATATGTTATGTATTTCTTTATTTATTACTTAACATAAAAACTTACGGCAAAAGAGGTATCCGAAAGTCTGTTCTTATTTGTCGAGCCTTGACAGCTTTGTACACAGGGAGAACCACTTGCCCGGGAATCGTAGGATCCTGTTTACAACAAAGTTAGATTTTTTCCTACATAAAAACACTTAATTTCTTTCTTATATATCAATTTTAGTAAAAGAACAAATCAAACTAACCCCAGTTTTTTCAGTAGATTTAGTTTCATTACTTCCGTCAGAGAACGTCAAAAATACTTTCCTGCGAATAAGACATTTTAAATTGAATAATTAATGTGAACGATTTACGATTAAATCATAATAATTTTGCCTTTAAAATAAAAAGCAAAGCTTACGATATAAACCGTTAAGGATATCAGACCCGGTAGGCATATGTCAAACTAAATTTTGACAGCTCACTAGCGCCACTCTGTCAATATAATAATATGTCTGTGGGGGTCTTGTATTTTTTAAGGCGTTTTCTGAGCCCAGATATTCTTGTTCAACTAAATATACAAACAAATCAAAAAAAATTGACTAATTTTTATGCAACAAATATGACCATGAAAAAATGATTGAATGAATGATGAGTAGCTTTGACTTAGTTGTCAAAATCGTACCTGCTGCCGATATCAAAGCTGACCCTGGGGTCGTCGCCAAGCAGACGACGGACTGTGTTCCGTATGGCTGGTGCGTAAGGAGCAAGTGGCTGGTGTGTGGGCCACCCGGTGAAGTACAGAGAGCGACGCGGGTTGAGGCCGCCCAGTGCACGCACTGCCTCACGCTCCCGACACTCATCTACTGACGAGTGTACGAAGTATTGCGGGTAGAATGCGCCTGCGATTATTAACTGAGGACAAACGAATTCATTGACTCACTTGATTACATTGAACTGTTTTTACTAAACGTACAAAAACATATTAAATAGTAGCTCAGAATTAAAAAAAAAAAAACTAGTGGCCTATGTGTACTAGACTATGTTCTACATCTGTGCCATATTTCAGCGGAATCCATGCAGTCTTTCTGGAGATACCTTTTAACAAACATCCATCCATCCATACATCTAAACATTAACATTTATAATATAAGTATGATTTGATTGATCATACTTATCCACTTTACAGACTTAACTACTTTTTATTTGTGTGTAAGAAAAAACTTCTTACAAGATACCTAGAAATGAAACCAAGTATATGAAAGGTGTACAGTCTAATTTTTGTCTATACATCAGAGTAAATTTTCCAACTTACTTTAAGCACCAATGTGATCTCATGTTTAGCCCATGGGGAAGGCACTGCGTTGATCTCCAGTCCTTCGCGGGAGAGGCGCGCACGCAGCTCCCGCACGAGGTCGTCCAGCTCACGTAGTGCGCGCACCTGCACGTAGAACCGGCGCGCCCACTGACCCTCGCTGCCCGGCTGCTTGAAGTAATTCAGCTTGCGCAGGTGGTTCCACACCTAAGATATCAAACAAGTAATTAATGTTCGCGCCTGTGGGAATATAATAACACTTTATCGTTATCCGATCTTGCTGTATGCCTGATTAAAGGCATCTTTTTTTATTACTCTCTATTAAAACTCTTTTATTGTATTTGTAGTGATGTCCTCCATCTGATTATTTATATCATTACTTTTGTAAGATGTACTGCGTTTGAAGCTAGGTTGTTGATTTTTATAATTGAATACAGGAGACATAAACTGATTTAAAACAATGCAATATATGTTAAGGCTGTCAATTATTACGACTGAATATGGTCAATCTTGTTGATGTAGTTTTATAAAAGTGTACTCTACAAATGTAATATTTACGTAATCATCAAATTAGGTACCTTATAAACATTGAGGAAGGCGATACAATCACTGGTGGAGCCGTCAGCCCAAGTCAGCTTCGAGTTGTACGCGTTCAGTTTCTCACGGAATGGACTGTTGAATACATTCTTCACGGACATGGCCGCAGCTAAAAATTATAATCTTTCTAAATTGATTTTATTAATAAAATTAAGTCTTTATGTTATTGCAGATAAACGTGTTGTATTTGTAACGTGAGAAATATTGTATACAGAATATTTTATCAGTTATTTAACAAAAATTGTGAAACTGTATATACATGCACAAATTTACAAGTTTTAGCACAAATTATGTAGCTTGTCTGTCGTTGAAACTAGGATACACTGTTGTGTATGCATTCATGCTCCTTGGTTGTTCTGTCTGCCACGTTTGTTTTGAGTAATTTCCAAAACAACTGGTCCAATTTCGACGGGAATTATAGGCTATTTTCGTTTTACCTTAAATATCCTATTTTAGTAAACCACATGTATTTTAGAATATAACAAAGTACTGACCCATAATAATACTTTCATCAAAACATCCGTAGATGTAACCTAGCATAATCAGCTTGGAGATCCTCACATCCAGCGGCAGCTTGGCCATGATGCGGCCCAGGTATGTGACATCACCGTCTGACACGCACCACTCATCGTTTATTGTCTTCTTCATAGCACCCACCTGGTTAATCAATTATTTATTTATACATATGATTGTAAAATTTATATTTTTGTATGCAACAAACTCAAAAACTACATTAGAAAACTCAGAAACTACAGTATCGCTGAGTAGCCTAAGCTATACAGTTGAAACCTGGATAAGGAGGAGTTTAAGCAACCGCAGTAATTGTCTCGCTCAATTGCTTGCTGTAACACGAATTTCTCGCTTATGTAGTACTTCCAAAGTTCGACCTGACTGTTCGGGTATTAAACTGTTCGGGTTCTTAAACAATTAAGTATAAGGTTACGCCTGAAAAATGCTAAATGTGTATCGTAATTTAAAAGGTAATAAACAAAACAACTGACCTCTTTGAGTACTAATATAGTTTTGTGTATATTGGACATATCGGGCGGGTCCATGGCAAGAGCGAGGATGTCACTCGGCGGGCCCATGTCCAGCATCTTGGCGAGCAGCACCAGCCGCTCCAGCGGACATCGTACTATCTCCGGGGGACACTCGTCCGGCAAATCATTCTATATAAAAACATCCAAATCGTCGGTCAAAAATAATAAAAGAAAATTAGGCTGATGGCAGGTAAAGTCGTCAAGAAAGCGTCATAGATCTAGAGGTCTAACATATTTACACGTAAAGGTATTTCAAATGACTTAAGGTCTCTAGAGCGTAATTCTTTCTCATGGATCGGTGGCCCTTTCGCATTTACTTAAAGGGTCGTTTACCCCTTAATATAAAAAAAACAATAACCTATTTACTAATATTAAGCAACTTATTAAGTTTACAATTAACTCGGGCGACAGCTATTACATACATAAAATCTCTCCGAGACTAGCCGGTAGACGCGTCCGTCACGTACACGGCCCGCACGACCTGCGCGCTGCTCGCAGTTGGCCTTGGCTGCCCACGCCAGCTGCAGCGACGTGAAGTTTGTCGCTGTGTCCGCTACCAGCACTTTCATTAGGCAGTAGTCGATCACTGGAAAACGACAAAATGAATATAGAATATGTCACCCGGGGATAGAGTAGGTTCAGATTTGACAAAATATGTCAAAGTGTATAGAAGAAAAACGTGACATGCATGTCTTATCGAAAGTTAAAGGTGGGAGGGTGGTCAAGCTATTCAATATAAAAAAAGTTACTGTCACTTTCATTCATTTTTGACTTTTCGTTTAGCGACATTACTTGTCGAATGTTACTTTGTGTAGGGGCAGAACAGAATTTATTACAATCTAATCAAGCATCAAGAAATTCAAAGCATACTTTTTAAAATGGATTAAGCAGTTGATAAGTACAGCTAATAGTTTTCAACATATAATAGTTGGTTCATGGTTCTGTATAAGATATATAAGATAGGTCTTTTCATAGAAATGACAGTTTCCGCTTCGTTCCAATTTTAACGCGTCTTATTAGTTAATTATACCTCTATTATTAGTTAAAACCATCGCTACCAACCGCTACCGTCACCGCCAAGATGGCGAAGTTCAAGTAGGCACAAAATACCAAGCTTAATAGCCTATCCATTTATAGGTACTGACCATACTTGATGTCAGGCACTGTAATGGAGCTCTCAGCGATGTTTGTGGCCAGTATGATCTTGCGCTGTCCTGGCGGCGCGCGCTGGAACACACGCACTTGCTCGTCCGCTGTGATAGTTGAATGTAGCGGCAATACCCACCATTTCAATTTTGATGTACCTGCTTTCTCTGACATTTTTAATCTAAAAAAAATAATTTAGCTTTTAAGAGACAAAGTTTATATGTATGCCAAATTTCATCAAGATCTGTTCAGCCGTTTTAGATATATCTTCAATCAAACATCCATTCCTCAAATCATACGCGTTTATAATATTAGTAAGATATGGGATATACATAGAATAAAATAATCATTTTCACTTACCTCAATTCAGAATTTGTCAAACAATCATATAACTCTTCAATTTCATTAATACCGGGTAAAAATATCAAAACTGATGGTAAATCGGCTTCTGATCTATTACCAATGTTCTCTTCTTTTTCATCAATTTGTTCAAAAGCATCTATCAATTTAATCACCAAATGATGCATCTCTGAAGGGATACCTGGTGATTCATTCTTTAATGATGTAATTTTGTCCAATATCTGTAAAGAAAATATGATCCAATTGAAAGCCTTAACAGAAACACACGAAAAAACAATCATAGGGCCATATTGATATTATACATTTTTAGTTATTTGGTGAAAGATAAAGTGATGTGGTATTCTAAAATAGGGTTACATCTTACTAATATTATAAATGCGAATGTTTAAATGGATGGATAGATGGATGTTTCTCTGAAGGTATCTCCGGAACAGCTTAATAGATCTTGATGAAATTACACAGTTGTACATTAAGTTTTTTTTTTAATTCTGCGCGGTCGAAGTCGTGGGCGACAGCTAGTAATGTTATAATATTAAAGCTATATACAGTGATACGACGAAAACTACAATTTTTTGCGTAAATGATCAATGAATTAGGTTTCTTATTAGAATCCTGTATAAACAAATAATGGATTTATTTAATACTATCAATAACCGTATACAAAGCCTGGAAATAAGGACATGAAGTATGTTTTGTATTTTGCATTGTACCTAACAATCAGAAACAAGTTAAATACAATAATATACAAGTAATAAAACTTACCGATCCGAATTTATTAAGATGATTAAGATAGAAAATTTTCACAGTATACATTGGATCTTTCTTCACAACTTTAATAGACATGGCAGTCTGCAATCCCATTGGAGTTGGTATCATAAAGTAATCCGCAAATGTCTTCCGGTTAATTGTAGCGGACATGAGCACCACTTTTACATGTGGTGATACAGTGTACAGGAGTCTTTTTACAACTAGCAGGAGAAAGTCCATTTCCTGACCACGCTCATGCACTTCATCCAATATTACATGGGTATATTCGTTCATATTCTTCGCTGCAACTAATAATAGAAAGAACTGTATTAACATATTGCCCTATATGTATGAACAAAATTTTGTATATGCATATTTACCAAGTTTTTGTAGAAGTACACCAGTTGTAACATAACTTATCCGAGTATCGGATGACACCTTGGCTTCCAATGCAACCTTATAAATAATAAAATATGATTTAACATATATCATTGTGTCATTACAAGTATTTTAGAAATTGAAACTCAATCATAGATACTTATATGTATTTATATATGATTTATATAGAAATAATTCTATACATAGTTATACATATATTAGTTAATAAACTAATAAATTAGAAAGCAAGACAATGCTATCATATTATGTTTAATTACTTATTTTAAGAATAAAGCTATTCTAACAATGCATATAATTAACCTGCCAGTTACTTATTATTGTTTTAAAAATATCAAAGAATTAAAAATAAAATATGGAATCACCTGATATCCAACTACACCACTAACATCCCACCCTCTCTCTTGAGCAACTCTTTTTGCAATAGAAATAGCTGCTATTCTTCTCGGCTGAGTGACAACAATTTTGCATGGCCTACGATTCTCAAATGAATCATCTAAAATCCATTGTGGTACTTGTGTTGTCTTACCACATCCAGTTGGACCCTCTATAATCACCACTGGATAAGCTGAGATGCTGCTTAAAATCTAAAACAGAAAATTTTATGCAAAAGCACCAATGTTATAAACTTTAGTTAACTAAGGTATTCATTTTTTTTTACAAAAAATTTGCAAGTTTTACCGTATTTGTTAGCTTATGTCTTTGGATTAGAATGAGTGTAATATGTTACCTGATGCCTGTATTCATTAATAGCTAAATTATTTGTATCCTCCTTTCTCTGGAATGAGTATTTCTTGTATACTTCATTCATTGCTTCCTCTGTAAGTGCCTCAATATTCTGCATTGAATAGCTGTACGAAGATAGCTGCTCTAAAGAATCCAGTCCACCAGCAAAACTTTGGAATGTGTCTCTGTTACCTTCATACTGAAAAAAGTTTTACTTTACTATGTAATTATAATAAAAAGGTAAAATGGATTTTGCATATAGATAGCATAGGTATAATATTTGAAAATTACATAATTTTCAAATATTCTATCTTACTCAAGTCGAAACAAGTTCAATTTTAATATGAGTGAATACCTTCAAATAATTTTCCATTTCTTTTTTTTTAATTGCATCAGCATAATCAGTGCCGCTCGCGAGAACAGAGTGGCGATGCTCTTCAGGTTTATTAAATTCATTTATCGTATCTTCTTTAGTTATTCGCCGACCACCAGTAACTGGACCTCGAAGTTTTTTAACTTGTGCATTAGACGGACATGGATTGTTGAAAAAAGACCGCAGTTCCTCCATTCTTAAAGTAAACGCCGAAAATACGGCGCTCACTTTCCGATCGTTCTAAAAACACACACTACCAACAATAATAACTAATTCGTTTTAAATTTGAACACAAAATGTTGTTTGTAAAAATTGAAAACAACACAAAATAAAACTGCCAAACTGACATTCGCAAAACAGAAATTCACAGAGTAAGGAAAATACAGAAATGAATACCTTGTCAATGATAGACTATGCAGAAGATTTTTACTGTAAAGTTTAAGTTTGAATAAGTACCGAAATTCGGATAAATACAAAAAAATATATATTACAACAACTGAACTCCATAAATACACGTATTTGCTGTACTGCATAGAGTTTCAGGTGCTAGGGTCTGTCTACGTCTAACACCTTTATATCCCTCAATCAAATAATAACATTCAAACTTCACACTGTTTTCGTTAGTTTAGTGGATTTAGGTATAATAAAAACCAAGGTTTATTAATACTTTGCATTTTATTTACCATATTTGGCATAACAAAAATATTCAGATCCTTTTAATAGTAACTGTGTGATATATATATTTTGATACATTTGCTGCTACAGGAGCAGTTTATTTATTATGCTATTCGATAGTTCTTGCTACCAAAATTGTTATGAAAAGTCTACAAACGGCTTTCATTTAACTACTTTACACATTAGATACAGAGTTAACAATCTAAAAGTTGTAGACACTACCAAGTATTATCAAATATCTTGGCGGCAGTTCGCGTGAGTCGCTATATCGCGCAGATCTGTTGAGTATGCGGGAGTACTGCGCAGCGCAGATGACTTTGGGCCACCAAGATACTTGAAAAGGGTTATAATACCTATTAGGATAGTAAATAACAATTCCTTGTCTGCGTTATGTACGCTATAAAATATGATTAATTAATATTCTACTGTAATAAATATTGACTTTATGAAATAAACCGTTTTATTATTAAAACAAATAATATTATGAAAAGTAGTGAATATAGTTACATACTTTATTTAATTTAAGAATGATACAAAAATTAAAAGATCTATTTATCGCGAGGTCAACACTGTCTTTATAAAGTTATTGTTACCAAAAAAAAAATAACAAATTTTATTTTGAGCTCTTTGGTTCACAACAAATCGTATCTTGCTGACTAGGTCGACTTTATGCTAGAAAAGTTGTTCGTCAAATATTCTACAATTAAAGATATGTCTTGTCTAATTTTCTTTAAATCTGTTGTCAAACGTATTTTAATATTATTTATAGCAAGTAAGGACATATCATGTTTTATTTTATAAAAAATGTTGCCGTTGTACACAAAGAAAAACAAAGCAGACATTTATGTACAGAACAGAATATAAATATTTATTTGCATTTATACAACACAAAAATAAAGCAGTAATAAATATAATAGCCAACATATTTAAAGTCGATTACAATATTTTCTACATGTATGCATCTTTAATTGCTATATATCTGATAATTTGATTTTAACTATTTAATACAATGTGCAGAAGCGTGAACGGTCGAATATAATCTTTTCTACTTCACATACCTATACAACCTTATAGATAAAATAAAATTTTAAAATCAACAATACCATATTTTACACAATAATATTATATAACTATCATACATACGCCTTATAACGTTTATGCAAATGCTAAATATAAATTAATAAAGATATTAAGACCGCTCAATTTCTGTATTAATATAATGTGGCAAAAACCAATATGATACTTGGTAAGTTATTTATTTACTGCTAGCTGTCGGCCGCGACTCCATCTGCGTGGATTTAATAAAAAAAACTATTGGTCGCAGCGTAATATTATATAGCCTAAAGCCGTCCTCTATAAATTGACTATCCAACAAAAAAAGAATTTTTCACACCGGACCAGTAGTTTCTCAGATTAGCGCGTTTAAACAAACAAACTCCTTCGCTTTATAATATTAGTATAGATTGAAAATATTTGAAAAATCAGTGAAAAGAATTATTTAATTGCAACTATTGTGTTAACCACCCCTAAAACATTTATAGATGTTTAATTTACATTAATTTATATTAAAAGAACATATTTATGCTTTAATCCGTTATAAGTGTTCTCTCCCTATTTCTAAACTCTATGTAATTCTCTACATATATTTCTTATAATGATTAAACAAATATTAATTTACCTATCTCCTAATAAATATTTTTAAATATTTATATATTCTGATTTTAAAATTATTAAAGAAAAATCTCTACATTTGTTAGATTCATACCTTAAACACCATAATTATAGACAAGAATGAACAGAAGTTAAAATAAATATAAAGAGATTAACATATCAAATACCTTTTCATAGTTCTAAATTTTCCAAAATCACAGAATACTATTTCTATTAACATCTTAAAGAGCTAAGATATATGTATAGTCCGACAAACTTATCTAGCCTAGTAGAGGGTGCTGCCATCGTTACTTATTTTAAATATGTAAAACTAATTTAGGTACAGAACATACTTTACAGTCGAACATGGAAAAGTCCAGTGGCCATATGGCTTGGGTGAACAGAAATCTCTCGCACACCGCATACGGGCGCTAACGATAAATATATTTGCGCCATTATAGAGATTTTTCACTTATCCCGATTCAACTGTATAAGGAAAAGCATGACATGGCAGCTATAGACAAGAATCTTGCGACCCTTTTTTGATATTGGCGCTAGTGTACTATAATTTAGTGGCTCTTTTGCCCATCGGGTCAAATAAATTTGTCAGTCTATATAAACAAACTTATTTCTAAATTACAAGTCAATACTGAAACAATACAACTTTTATGTTTTAAAATTAATTATTAGCGGAAAATAAAAATCAATTCTTAAAAGTCAAAGCAAGTTATTTCAAAGAAATTTTACTTTGGTTAAAATATATAGTAAAATGCAAAGATATTTTCTAAAACCATTATTATGAAAAAAACTGAATTGTTAAAGTGAAATATCAGTTTTTTTATTGAAACTATACATTAAGTCATAAAGATGAAATAAGCTTCATAATTATGCAATAACTTACCAAAACTGCATCTGAACATTTATTTAGCAAATTAACCGCCACACAGAGAGTCACACTTAGTGTAATTTAATAAGAGAAGTCATACACTTCGTCACTATAACTATACTTAAAAAGCTGTCACTTTGATAAATAAAGTTCACTACACTGTTTTCAATCACAATAAAAATATATATTCGTAATTAAGATATTTTCACAATAGACGACAAACGCGTCAAAGTCGATATGATATCGTCATCCATTAATTCTCCTTTGAGGGCTGGATGGACCAGCCCAGGATGCGGCGGTCAAAGCCACAGCTAAAGAAGTTAATGTTAGAGATCTCTTCCGCCCACGCCACAGACGTCACCATGCGACGATGACCCTAACAATAAAAAGCCTTTTAAGTAAAAAAATAACAGTCGAAAATCAAAATTTGTTAATAAAAAAATCTCTACACCCGGTTGACTATCCTATGACACTCGGGTGAAGAAAACGAATCGAATGCCACCTCAAACATCAAAATCGATTTATTAGTTTTGGTTCTAGGCCATCATAAAGGAACTTATGTACAAACCCACAAACATAAAACAAACTTACACGTTTCTACGAGACATGCTTTTTGAAATAATTAACATATAGTCTATTTTCACTATTCATTTTGTATGGTCTATAAGGAATCATCAACTGACCTGTCGACTGGACCTGGGCAGGCGTGCCAGGCGCTGCCCCTGCAGATCGAAGAGGCGCACCTGCCGGTTGTCGTGCGGGATGGCGATGAGGCCGCCGCCGCTCACAGACACGCGGTTCACTGACGAATCCGATCTGATCGTAGCCAACGCGGACCGCATGTTGCGCACATCCCATACCTGGTAAACAAAACAATCATATTGTTATTATTTCAAAAGGGTTTTCAAACATCTTAATAGCTCGGAACATAGTACGAGGTGCTTCACAGAACACAATTTTATATCCAGGATGATATAAAGGTATGCATTGAGAGGGCACTAAGCAGAGGGCAGATGACCTTGAGATTTCAAACAGGTTTAAACAGGCAAAATTAACAGTATTATATTAATATTATAGTTATAAGATATATGTGTGTATCTTGTTCTAATACAAATCTTAAATATTTCGAATAAAAACTAAAATAAAAAACAAACCTTGACAGATCTATCATCAGAGCCCGAAACAACTTTGTCCTCGCGAGTGAAAACAGCTGATGTCACGCTCCTGTAATAACAAACATATGACTTTTATGTAATTATTTTTATTAATTACAATAGCATTAAAGTACATCAAGGTTACATACATTTATATTATGTTCAAATTATTATTAACCAAATTTAAGATATAACAGACATTCATTAAACAAAACTTCATAGAAAAAAAATAAAAAAAAAATAAACTCAAGCCATTATGATATATATACATACTCAGTGTGTCCTTGGAATACTGAAACTGAGTGTATAGGTTCACGGAAATCCCACAGACGGAAAGTGGTGTCTCTAGATGCAGTCACCACCAGACGGGAACTATGGTGTGCCGATGCATGCGTCAATTCATGGTCATGACCTATAACGAAGCGAAAAACGCATTAATTATTGTCATATGAAATTTATAACAAACTATTAAAATAGTACTGAGGAAATTAACCCCAACAAAATGAACTTCAGTGGCCTTTTTTGTCTTATTCATTGTATTTCAGATTAAGGAGGATTTAATAAAAAAAATATAATTTATCTAACCTGTGAGAATTTGCAGACAATCACCAGTTTCAACATCATACAAATTAGCGGTCCTGTCCCAAGAAGCTGTGATCACATGATCTCCACCAGTCAACCAATCTGCTGCTACCACCACACCAATGTGTCCTGTGAGTTCTGTGAGAGGTGTCCTCAATACTTCAGGTCTATCACCACCTTCTCCGAGACTCTCCTCACCACCACCTTCCAATTCCTCTTCTGATGACTGTCCACGCTAAAACAATTAAAAGACAACTAAAATATAGACAAAGATATCTTAGCAGTTAAACATTCGTATTAATAATATTAGTAAGATAGTTTTCAGATATCTTGGCGGCTCTTAATTTCACTTCAATTGCTGTGCAGAACACAATTTTAGGTG